AAGTAAATGTTTTCTGGTACAAACTGTTCACAGGCCTACACAGTTGTGACAATGAGGACACTCTTTAGGGACAACAAAAAAGGGTCATAGGTACATTTAATTGGGGACGGAGGAAGTACTTAACAATGCCTTTAGGTYGAACAGAATACAGCACAGCGAAGCACACTGTGGCGTGACTAGCTCCTACAGTACGGTACAGTACTTCGTGCCGCCGTACCGTACTAATTACTGCCTGGAATTCGAACGGAGTGAAATCAAGGTCACAAACTCTGTTGGGATTCGGTAGAACGAGTGCGACCGTAACAGTAACAATTACGGCTCCGTACAAGCGGATGCAATTATCAATCTATTGGCAACGATCCTCGAGAGTTACAATTTTCCGTCATCTTTTTTCACTTTGTTCTGTCATCCAAACATTCATAGCGGAGACTAAGCATTCTATTAGACGTTCAAAATGAGTCTGCCCCGTCGAATCGTAAAGGTAGGTTCTATATTGCCCGCATGTAACAACAGGAGCCTTATTGTTTGATTGTTTTCCGATCTTGTTCCACGGCGCGCTTTTCTTTGCCTTCGTTTTACGGTCATCATCGTCTTCATCATTTRTAGAGTCTGACCTTTTATGCATCGSTWCCTTTCGTGCTATTTTAGGAAACGCAACGCCTGGTTTCAGAACCAGTAGCGGGGATCAGTGCAACACCTTACGCGGACAATTTGCGATATTTCTCGGTTGCTATTGAGGGTCCGGAGGATAGTCCATACGAAAAAGGTGTCTTTCGTTTGGAATTATTCTTGCCATCGGACTACCCTATGGCACCACCCAAAGTAAGATTTCTGACCAAAATTTTTCATCCCAATGTGGACAAACTTGGACGAATCTGTTTGGATATTTTGAAAGACAAATGGAGTCCAGCCTTGCAAATTAGAACCGTTTTACTATCGATTCAAGCTCTGCTGAGTGCACCRAATCCCGATGATCCTCTCGACAATAATGTAGCTGATCTATGGAAAAGTAACGAACCGGAGGCATTGAAGAGAGCTAGAGAATTCACGCAGTCGTTCGCTAAGGCGAAAGAATGAGTTTCTTATCCAATTCCGAAACCATGCAAATCGCGAACCCGCACACTTAGATTTCAGAYTTTCTTTGCTATGATATATGGGGATCAACTCGGAATCATCGACTTTCGAAGCCTATTGATAAATTGATTGACTTGACAATTCTGGTGTTTCCCTTATTTCATGACGCCCTTTTTCCCGTGGCATTTTTCTGTGGCTTAGCCCTATGATTACTATTAGCACAAGCATACGAGTAGCATGGGAAAGAAGAATTCCAATCTTTTGGTTTACCTAATAAAAAGTGGTGAAAGGATACGATCGAAATCCTAGTGTATTTAGTTAGTAGTCAACGAGTTATGTACTCATGATTTATCTCCAAATATCGATTTGAACACACCGCTAAGATCTGATGATCTCGATTCCGATCCAATCAGTTCGATTTTTGGCATCGTGAGCTTTCGTTTGGGAACGGCGGCAGCTGGTGGTTTGGTCACTTTTCCAATTAGAAAAGGAAATAGCGCGCTATTGGTTTCAAAACAAAGATCATTAAATGTAAAACAAAGAAAAAGTCAGGAGCCAACATCAAACCTTCAATATATTGTCGGAGGAGACATACAAATAGTAGAAGAGTATCATCAAAATTACATACCTCAGCAATATATCCCAAGATGGAATATCAAAACGGTCCTCTTGGGAAATAATTAGTGATGTGTTTGGATCAATCACAAAGTCAGTATATACGATGTATGGCTTGATGTCAAGACCAAATCCGATATTTACTCCACCAGATAATCGCCATGTCACTGTGACAACTGGGTTTCCAGATGAAGAAACTTCCTCAGTCAAAGCCGTGGAAATGATTTCAGCTCGAGCTGTAGATTGGTTAAATATTTTCCGCACACCTTTGCTGTAGTCTTCGATACTTTCCACTTTTACGTCCGGATCTTGAAATGTGAAGTCTTCTGAAAAGTATGAAGGATTTACATTCCCTGTTACAAACCATTCTTTCTCGGACAGTTCATAATCGAGAGCTGAGATTAAAGTTTCCAGCGATGTTGAAGGGGATATTTTGGGCGATTCAAAATCGACGGTTGAGCTCGTGTTTTCGTCGTCACTGATCTCCATCTTGTCCTTCTGCATGAAGTTGGATAGAATCTTGGTTGCGACATTGCGATATTCCTCCACAGTACTTTCGCTACTCCCTTCATCTGCTTTCGACTTCGAAAACGAGACCAGGCTAGAACGACTCGTTCTCCTCCCCGCATAGCTCTCGAGGATGGAGAATTGCTGATGTTGGAAACCTTCTCCGAAAATGCTACCCGACCCCAATGCCTGTAGAAACAAAACAAAGCGTATGATCTGTAAATTAGAACTCGTCATTCTAAAAGCTCGTAGTTGGAGGTTCCGAAGGCACTACAAGAGCAAGATTATGAACTCGTTGTAGACGAAGGACTGATTGTCGCTACTCAGGACTGCATGCATTCAGTTTTAATGTACTGTAATGAATGCAAATTGCGATCGAACTGAATTTTTTTCTCACGAAAAAATATCGCATCTTACGTACGCGTACCGTCCATACTCGTACGCTTCGCACTTCGCATCAAACCTCCAATTCTGGTGTTTGAGTTTGTTTTCTTCCGGTGCTTGTACTTTAGTTCTACGACTCGTACTTGCTGGTAGTACTAGTAGTATGCGCAACTGTGCAACTGACAATATGTCAAACAGTCCATCCAACAAGGAGATACTCATCATCCAACCTCTACTTCAGTCGGTGTTTGCCTTACAGCAACTGCTGCAGCACTTCACAAAGTGGATCAAAATGGAATTCCACTTTTCATTTCTACTACTACTRGTAGTACTGGTAGTAGTACTCGTAGTAGAATAGTATTGGCTTTCCATCACATCATCACATCACCAGCAGTGTCAGCAAAAAGATAGAAGCACGAGAGGAAATCGAACAATGACATCCAGCTGGTGGCATCATTGCCGACTTCGGCATCATCCAACCACTGCAACCAATGCCAAGTATCAAAGAAATAATACAGCAGTCGCATGAAATACGGTAGGAATAATTGCACAGCACAGAGCCTGGGCTGCTATTACGAACAACTAGCATTCACGTAACAATCTTTTCGGCGTGAGTAGAAAGTAACTAGACACCAACAAAAAGGGACCATGCAAGATAAGGTTCAGCCCTGGCCTAACTCCGATCTGCGTGAATCCTCCGATCATTTCTACTGCACACAGGTTTCAATGTGTACAGCACCAACACAAAAATTCTTGCGGAGGTTCTCAAACCAACACGATTTCTTTGTTCGCAATCTTTTAATTAGAAAATCTATGCACCAGGTAACTATATTGCAATCTGTCTATCCGGATGTTGGCGGAATGCAATCCGAAACGACTATTTTCTGCCGAAGCTTCTTGATCGATAGCCATGGATGTCTATCTGTAGCGAACAATTGATTACATTATCAATTGCAAAGGCGTACTGCCAGATGAAACAACCCCAAGTGATAACTAMGGCAGTGATTTGTTGAGACATCCTTCGTCGTTTTTCTGCTCGTACTGAACACAACATTGTTTATTAAAGATGCTTCGTAATACCAGCCTCAATAGCTTCGGCATTYGCACCGTTTACAACGTCAACTTTTTCTCCATCCTTAAAGTAATGAAACGAAGGGACCGATCGCACACCCTCTCGCTTCATCAATTTGGATGCATCGGGGGAGGCATCTCCAACAACCTTAAGGAAGACAGCATCGGGGTACTTCTCGCTGAATTCTGCAAACTTTGGAGCAATAACTTTACATGGTCCACACCTKGTAAAGGAAAAACCGGAAAATAGAACAATGGAGGAAAAACTCGGTCAGAACTAAGTCAATTAGGTCAACATTGTTGCTCTATTCACGCATTGACCTGTACGACCTCGTACTTGTATATCTCCACATCATTGCTAAAGATATAAATTAACCAAACCTCACCATGTTGTGCTGTAATCTACAACCACCAGAGAATCTCCGGAACTGCTGATAGTTTTATCGAAGGCTGCTTCACCATTGATATCAACAACCGCCATCAAAGGAGTATTCGGACATGAGCTTTGTCGGGTCGACGAATTAACCGTTGTCGGCGCGAACGCGTCAACAGCAACCAATGTAACAAGAGCTAGAGTAATCTGGATGAAGGTCTTCATGACGTATATCGTTTCTTCTCTTTTATATCTTGGTAGAGTGTAGATTGTACTTGTGCCRATCGATTGAGAGCAGACTGTCCTGAGTCGTTGTCAATGATTTRAGTCTGTCACTGTAGGGTCCAGCTGCTAAGATCTCAATCACGCACACTTGTCGTTGAAAGTGACAGAGTTTGCGCTTTGCGTGCGACGAGTGACGGATGTTGAATTTGCGTAAGCCGATAGAGAACAAGATTCTTTCTGTTGCCTGTCGAGAGAACGTGTCCATGTCGTGTACGTAATTGTAAGTACTGAAAAAGTTTGTACCCATTAGATGCCCTAATTCGTATTAATAGGTAGGACGAGTAAACATGCAACATATGAACATCACGCTGATGATATTCCTACTGGCAGATTTTTAAAAATTTGAAAACTTCAGGAATCAGCATCTCAAACGTGGGCGTGTTAACTGTATTACCGGTACAGTCAAGATCGATGATGATGACATCCGAAACGAAATTTCAACTTCATGTCCGGATCGTATGGTACAGAACTGGTACAGGATCGGAGTCCAAACTGAGCGTATCATGTGCCTTGCTTCATCTCTCGAAAGAGTTAGTTTTCGGTTTTCGTTCTTACAACGCTGTCAAGGATTAACTTTCTAATCACAACCTTCCCAAACATAAAAAGTACGACATGATGGTAGGGTGGACTTCGTCATTCCAGCTTCTGCTTTCGGCGATGGTTGTAGCTACCCGAGCATCAGCGTTCACTGCTTCCTCGTCGCCGTTCGCCATTAGATCATCCGCCGCGTCTAGGACGAACAGTATGGCATCTGCGGGGGACACGCCAGAAACGCTTCCGGAATTTGCCAACGCCGAAGATTATCTGAAATACTTAGGCACGGTTAGTCAATTGCCTCTTGGATTTGCAACTGGAACAGCCGACGGGACGTTCATTTCCGTTGAAGCACCAGGATTGGGAAATTTGAAAATTCGAGCCACCGTCATTCAATTAACCGAGGGGCCTACGGAGAATTGGGCTGCGTGTTTTACGTCCAACAAGGTAGGTCTGAAACATCAGTACGCTTGATATGACACTTCAAGTAAAATAAATGGCGAAATACAGTGTGCGCGACAAGTTGAAGATATATCCTTCTGATTGATTTCCAAATTTTTATTATCGTCTTTTGTTTGTCGACACTGACTTGCAGTTCCCTGGAGCTCCCATTAAGGTGGGCCGAAAGCGTCTCGAGGCTGGTGGTCCAATTGAAGCCCTCGTTATTAATAACAAGGTTTCCAATGTTTGCTCTGGAGGTGACGGAGAAGCCGATGCTGAGATGGTATGCGAGGCAGTTGCAAAAGCGTTGAATCTCGAATCAAAAGATTTGGTGTTACCTTCCAGTACTGGAGTCATTGGATGGCGTCTTCCCGCAAAAGAATTGGCGACAGAAGTTGTTCCGGAAGCCATCAAGAACATGCAAACGGATTCTGTGTTGAATGCTGCCGAGGCCATAATGACTACAGACAGATTTCCAAAGGTTCGAAGCATTACCCTTTCTAACGGAGCCAGGGTTGTTGGGATCGCCAAAGGTGCGGGAATGATCGAACCGAATATGGCAACCATGCTCTCTTATATATTAACTGACGCTACTGTGCCAAAGGAAACGCTTCAGTCTATGTTGGGATCCGTTGTGAACGATACGTTCAATTGCATGTCCGTCGATGGTGATGAATCGACTTCGGACACTGTCGTGTGCTTGGCATCAAATAAAATTTCAGAAGACATCGATCTAAAGGAGTTTGAATCCGCCTTGAAAACTGTCAGTGAAGGACTTGCCGCCGACATTGTCCGAAACGGAGAGGGGACCTCCCACGTGATGCGTGTTGTAATCAGCAACTTCCCCGGGACGAAAAAAGATGCACGATTCCTTGGACGACACATTGTCAACTCTCCTCTTTTCAAATGTGCCGTTGCTGGAAACGATCCCAACACAGGTCGATTGGCGGGTGCAATTGGATCGTACATGGGAAAATACATGCCGGACGCAGACACTACCAAAATGTCGCTGACACTTGGAGGACGATCAATTTTCACGAAAGGAAAATTTGTCTTGGAGGGCGACAAAGTGGAGAAAGAGCTGAGCAATCACATGAAGAATGCAGAATATGGTGATGACACCCATTTTCCTCCGCACCAGCGATTTGTAGAAATCGGGGTTGATTTTGGCATCGAGAATACCGACTTCGAGGATGTCAGCGTGCTGGGAAGTGATCTAACGAAAGAATATGTTGTGATCAATGCTGACTACAGAAGTTGATGGTAAACCACATGTATGCCGGACGTGTTCAAGACTTGAATACAAAAATTCAATGCTCGAACTACAAACATTTTAAAATAGAAATATACACCTCGTTTTTCCGCAAAAGGGAACGTTCAAACGTTCTTACGAAAATACTTCCAAGTCTATTTGGCTTCAGCAGCCTTTTTAAGCTTCTTCGCCTTCATTTTCTGGATGGCCTCTTGCTTGATGACTTGTTTGAAAAGCCAAATCATCTCGCTTTTCTTTTCAGACAACTTTTCCACCTTGTCCTTCAGGTCTGCTTGTTTCTTCTCTAGAACCTGAACGTTGTTGCCACCAGTAGAAGGTACGTTTCCTTCCCCTGCGGGGTTTCTTTGCGTTTTCAGGGCTTCCTCCTTTTCCTCTTTTGCTTTTTTGATTTCGAGATCTACTTCTGCCTGTTCCTTCTCGTCTTCCTCTTGCTCTCGTTTGCGTTTATGGATCATTTCTTCATCGAATTTCCTTTCATATTCCAGTTTGCATTCTTCGTTGATTTGTTTCTTCAGTTTCAGATCTTCACTTTTCCACTCCTTCCTGATTGTCGTTTCCAACGCTTCCATTGCCTTTGTGGTTTCCAACTCGTGCGCTTTTCGAATTTCTTTGAGCTTTTCCGACCTGGCAAGCAAAGCCTGCGCCAGCTTGTCTTTGGCCAACTTAGCTTCGGAGGATGCTATTTTTTCTTCCTGCTTAAGCTCTTTCAACTTTCGCTCGGAATCTCTCATTCCTGCCTTTTGCGGAGGATTAGTCTTGATCAAATRAGCTCGAATTGCCTCTTTTGTATGAATGGGCACCTGCGGCATCGGAATGGAAAATACCCTGGTTTGCATCGTGTTTTGGGAGGATTGCTTGTCTTTGTATCGCTCGGGAACGAGCCATTGGGGGAGCGTGTAGGACGCAATCATCTGAGGATCCGAGGCAGAGGAAGGAACTGATTCACTGCTRCCGCTTTGTATCGAGGGAAGGTCACTGCCACTGCTTCCGGGTTTTGGTGTACGCGCCATCTTCTGTAATGATAATCGTATGTTTGGGGATCTATTCCTCGCTATCCTCAAGTGCGGCTGGTTGCGAGCGTCTATCGCTTATTTGTTGTTCTTCATCCGTTGCAGGTTTCATTAGTGTATCCTCCCCGATGGAACTCGTCGCCGTGGATTTTCTTTCTTTCTTACTGAATGATGATGATGATAATGGTCATGTTTGTGAATGATTCTTGTTGCGCTGCCTTGGCTATTGCTTCTTCTTCGATCSGTATCAACAACAGATCTGATTGATTCCCCCAAAATACTACTTTGTTGCACTACTGTCGTACAGTATCGTACGGTACATAAAAGTAGTTTTCGGGTGAATCAGGGGTCATAAACTTATGACCACTGAGGACGGTATCATACGGTACCGTAGGTAACTTGGTACTACCACTTGTTTTAGATTTTTTCATTGGTTGTCATTGCTCTCCGATGATTTCATTCAACGTTTACATTTACAAAGTACGAGTACCGGGGTACCAGTATTTATTTTTTGATGACATCAACAAAACCATTGGCGCGTCGGAAGAAAAACTCCAAAAATCCTAGCCAAGCATCTGCTGCACGTCGCATCTGAATACTGAATACTCATAGCTGCGGTACRTACTGTACTCTACAAAAGGACACTGAAGATTGCCGACGCCCATAACTTTAAGTCCTTGATTGGCATTTGCTTCGTATCAAACTTAAACTAGAATCAATACAGTAACAAATATGATTGCGACCGCTTCCAGTCGTATCGTGTCGTTCCTTTTGGTGGTTCTGGCAGCATTTTGCGGTTCGTCGTTGGCATTTCAGGCATCGACGAGACCTACGCTCGGAATTCGGTATGTTCAAATACATKATGACGAGTGCATTAGCTTTCMATTATGATCATCTGCTAAGTACTATCTCCCCAAGTTAAGAACTGACCATCGATCTGAATTCATGTTTCATATTCTCGACAAAAAACTAGCTTGCCCTCGAATGGCCTCCCCGATACCTTGCCTGCAACAGCAACAAGCAGCAGCTTGAATCTTTCCTTTTCATCGTTCGGAAGCACCTTCGGAAATCGAAGAACTAGCAAAAATGACGAGGTTATGGGAAAGAAGACATCACAGAGCAAGCGTGCAGTGTTTTCGAAAGTCTTGAGACGGTCCGCTGTTGCTCTTGTTACCCTCACATTGTTGACCAGCAACCCGGCATTCGCTGCCAAGAAGGCCGCTGCTGCACCTGTCGAGCACCTTCACACGGGACAAAAGATYGCCAACTTTTTTATCAACTTTGGCCTCCCTAAGTGGGCTGTTCTTAGTGTGATTTCGGCAATGCCCGTGGTTGAACTTCGTGGAGCCATTCCAGTCGGTGTTTGGATGGGTTTGCCTATCCAACAAGTTTTCCCCATTTGCGTTCTCGGCAACATGGTTCCCATCGTTCCGCTTCTTTTCCTTCTTAAAAATGAAACCCTGAAGAATCTCATGAGTCCTATCTTGAAACGCGCCGAGAAAAAAGCATCKGGATTGGGTGTGGGAGATATTCAGAAGCAGTGGGTATCCCTCGCCGCCTTCGTTGGAATTCCTCTTCCAGGAACTGGAGCCTGGACTGGTGCAATGGGAGCATTCTTGCTGGGTATGCCAACACCTGTTGCTCTATCGGCAATCTTTGCCGGTGTCGTTTCGGCTGGATGTATCATGACTGCCATCACACTTGCCGGCAAGACCGGTGGACTAGTCGCTCTTTCTGTCTTGATCGCATTCGCATTGAATGAATTGTTCTTTAAGAAATCCGAAAAGGCGCAGGACTTTTTGGAGGCCGATCCTTATTGGGACCAATCAACCGTCCCTGTAAATACATTCAAAAACAAGGCTCCKTTCACCGGAAAGGTTGTCTCGACGAAGCGCATTGTTGGCCCTAAGGCTACCGGTGAAACTTGCCACATTGTTATTGATCACAATGGCGACTTTCCTTACTGGGAAGGACAATCATGGGGTGTCATTCCCCCTGGCACTCGAGAGAAGGACGGAAAACCCCATGCAGTCCGTCTATACTCGATTGCGTCCTCTCGGTAYGGTGATGACATGACCGGAAAAACTGGATCCTTGTGTGTCCGTCGTGCGACCTACTGGTGCCCAGAACTCAAAGCTGATGACCCTGCGAAGAAGGGGATCTGCTCTAACTTCCTTTGTGACACAAAAACAGGTGATGAGGTCACTATGACCGGACCAGCTGGAAAGGTGATGCTCATGCCAGAACAAGACCCCACTACTRACTACATCATGGTTGCTACCGGAACTGGCATTGCTCCATACCGTGGATTCATCCGTCGTCTCTTCAACGAAGACACCCCAGCTGCCCGTGCTTACAAGGGTGAAGCTTGGCTTTTCTTAGGYGTCGCAAATAGCGATGCCCTCCTCTATGATGATGAATTCCAAGAGGCCAAGAGCCGATTCCCCGAAAACCTCCGTATCGACTATGCTCTTTCTCGTGAACAAACAAACTCCAAGGGAGGAAAAATGTATATTCAAGACAAGGTTGAAGAATATGCCGATGAAGTTTTCTCTAAGCTTGAGAACGGGGCTCACATTTATTTCTGTGGCTTGAAAGGAATGATGCCTGGAATTCAAGATATGCTWAAAGGTGTTGCTGATAAAAAGGGTCTTAACTACGATGAATGGCTCAAGAAATTAAAGAAAAACAAGCAGTGGCACGTTGAAGTATACTAGAAGAGACAGAGACACTCTCCATTTRCTAAGAGCTTTAACGACAAAATACGTATGAATTATCTTTAGTATGCAATTGCAATGTCAGTTTTGAAATAAATTACAGAAATATATTTATCCAGCACCRAAGAAAGATTCGAGAGCTGAACAGTTGATACCATTCTCCCTATTGATTAAATGGCATGGCTAGGGATCATCGGCATGAACTCTTCCACATCCAAAAAATAGGWTGTATTTCGTTATTGATTCGGTCCTCCATGATCAATCAGAAGCAAAATATTCAACTTTTGTTTTCGACATCGTTGACCTGTTCCTAGCCTTTGGCGATTTCCTCGTCCATTTCTGGACTCTTCTGTGAGACAGTGGTCACAGACTGTTTTTCCGTATGTATATCCTCGCTCTTGGTGTCACGAATGATAGTCGTTGTCTGTTGCTCCTTTGKTGGATCCTCAATTTCGATTGTGCTTTTGTGCRAAGAGTTGACAAACCTACCGCTATGTTCACTGTTCCACTCGGAGTTCGACGACTTCTTGAACTCACCTGAGCTTAYATAACCACTTCGACTCGAGTCAAGATAAATGCTTCTCATCAAACTTGCAGGTCTTTCGCGCACGCTGTGTAATCCGTATCTGGATAAATTTTTCACGGGATTTCGGGCACCTCCTATATTCAAACTCTGCGCCACCGACACACCTTCAGGAAGCCCCTCACTCTCAAATCTAATTTTTGGCAARAAAATAAATGATAGGACGCCAGTGTCGGTCAAGAATATAACTCCAGCAATGACGATGTACCGGGCAGCTGCAGAATCTTGCACCGCAAACAAAATTGGAACTCCCAACAGAAGTAGCTCGCAAATATAAATAGACGCAAGAGCGACGTATTTTTGTTCCTGGTATCGGTCCGACATGTTTCTAACACGCCACAGCAGTCCGTTGGTAATTATCATTAGRCAAAAATGGATCCCAATTATCGGGCCTAGGAATTTCCAAAGTGAGTTACTCGAGCACTGCCCTACAGTCTCAATAGTGACAACACCAGTATTGTCATCTTTGCTTTGGCCTTGAAAACTCCGAACGTACACGAGAGGATCAACAACCTGCCAAGCAATCAGAATGATGGTATCCAGAAGTATGAATCCAGCAATGATCACGTACATTTCTTTGGCTTGAACCGCTTTCCTCCTCATTGCCATCGATGCTGCTGCGATTTTATTCAGTCGATATGATTTGGCTGTAAGTGAGGAATACATCAAAACCCAACCGAGCGAATATAGGAAAGGAATAGCTTGGCAATTCCTGGACGCTGCAGTCGTATCCTCGCCAACATCAGCCTCAGCAAGCGTAAGCGGAATGATTGCGGAAGTAGATATGATTGCCCCTATGCAGATGAGGAATAAGAATTCTGGCTGACCAATTTTTACCACTGAACCATTTCGTTTTGAAACCATCCACACAATRTACCCGATTGCCAAAGACCAGCTCAATACTACRAAGACATATCCCATCGATTTCAGGACTTGTGGGTTTAGATTTGCACTCTGCTGAACACACTCAACCGCTCCAGTTTCATCCATGGTACTGCTCCCGAACATGCAGGCAATACACTCCATTCTTTCRTTTTTCTTGGACATGAAAGAGTTGATAGGACAAGCTGAGCATTTAGCTTGAAGGAGTGCCGGATCAATCTTAATCATTGTCTGATTTACATGATGACCCGGAGAGCATTCATCACCACTTGGAGATGGTATGACGATTGGCGCTTCAGCCTGGTCGCTAGGTGACATGCACCCAAGTACAAAGTCTGTCGKTTTCTYTGATGTTGATTTTGTAATCCACTGCATACTGGCAGGCCCTCTACCATTGTTTCGTTGATATTCATTGAACGATACGGGTCCAAAAATTGTATCCGTATTAGTTTTCGCAAGGACTCGCCGCAATGCTTCGTATTGGTTTAAAAAGACATCCTCGACGTCGCAGTGGTCATCAAAGCGAAAGAAAGATACCATCACCTCAGCAATTATGGTCGGAATCGTGTAGGATACAACATGATCATAGCTACCAGAATAGCCAAATTCCTSCAAGCCAAAGTCGAGAACAGCTTGTCCAGTTTGGAAATACTGATCAGAATATTCAAAATTTTCATGCCACTGTCCAGCTCCCTGGAAAAATGGCACGACTTCAGGATTCTTATTTGCCCAGGACCATGTTGCKGTTGTAAACCAGGCCAAAGAGGGCCGGCATCCATTYGAACGCATCCTAGTGAGGATGGCATCTGCTTCRTCGTCTAGAACGCATGCAAATATTGCGGGGTGTTCAGCCTCTATTGAGTGGTGGTCRTATATGTCTGAATCAYCCGTGGGCTTGCCAACGRTCAAGGGGCAAAGACGATCAGCAAGACCCTCGAGGAAAGGAATATTCTGGCTATTCTTCACGGTGCTGCCACCCTCAAATCCTTCTGGATCATACTCGATAGGAGTGACATCAAAACCTTTAGATGTTGCTTCATCAATAACCGATCGACAGGTAGAGTAGAAGAACTYGGACTTGTCGCGATATATTACCCTAACGGGTTGCTTTGACGTTGGTATCTCAGTCGAGATCAAATGAAATTCCAAGGCTTGAAGAGCAGGGAGCGGATAAGTGTCACTGTTGACGTGAATACCGAACACGTATGGGTTCGTCGCTACATCCATGTAAAACCCTGGCGGACCAACTTGGGAGATGACGACCTTCTTTCTTTTGAGTGCAACAGGCTTATCGGCGACCGATGCAAACGAACAGCTGCCGAGGATATATTGCGCTGTGTCCACCTCCTCAAGGACCGAATCCAATAAAATCTTATGAATTTCCTTATATTCARCATCTGTCATGTKCTTGCTATTCCCTCCAACGATGGAGATGAGACGGAACTTGACAAAGTGGTCTCGACGGTAACCAATGGCGACGCCCTTACCGTTGTTGTCCGCATTTAGCTTTCGGACAGCCGTGACAGCCCCGTCACGATGATTGTTACAAAAAGATGGCGTCACCTGAACCAGTGTAATTTCCGGCGTGATCCGATCAATGCTATCATCACTGTCAATTTCGGGGTCAATAATTTCAGAAATATTAGGCATTTCACTCAACGAAAATTCCGAATCCAAATTAAAATTGTCGAAACTGCTGTCGCGGATATCATAAAGAACACATGGATCAAGTAAATCATCTTGCCCATAATTAGACATTGAATGGCTGGAATCAACACATTTTTTTAGCTTGGAAAAAGAAAAATCCGTCCACGTAACGTTCATCGCGGCAGCAACACCCGTGGAAAGTGCCATCATGACTGCAATGATGGCAATKAAATCCCGCCGAGCATTATGGTTCATCCTCTACTACCTGATTATTGTGAAATAGTCGAGACGCGTCGATTGCTTCCTTTGATCCCACACCGATCGCTCCGAAGTTCAATACGCCTCGATTGGTGATACGTAGGCTTGGGAAAATATTAACGATGACAACAGTATCARCGACGGAGGAATGCTCTACCTGTATTTTGTTACGGAAGTTAAGTTTATTCTGAGGAAAACCCGGAGCCATACTACGCTTGGGCAGCAATAATTGCAGATCTTATTCAATTGATAAGTTAGCATAGGTAATATGAACTATCAAGTAAAAGGTCTGACGAATAATAATAATGAAAGGGCTATTTCAGGTTTTATTTTTTAAGAGTTTAAGAATACAGTAAACCCAGAACTAATCGCAGAATACAAAATAATGTATTCGGGCAAACGRACCCCCTTCCTTTTGAATGAAAAGGATCATATGGGGAGGTAAGTAGGCGAAGACGAAAGTGCAACTAGAGAGAAAGTTGAACTTCTCTTTTTCGAACAGAGTAAATGTCAAATTTTKCTGAAAAATATAAATTCCTGGGACCCCCCGGGAGAGATTCCCAATTACGATGTCTACGCAGCAAAGCATCGACGAAACTGCAACCTTTTACTTCTTGTTTTTTTCTGGAGGGAAAAAAATTGAATGAGGGGGGGAAATCAATTTTGAATTCAGGCCAGCTCCCTGGTATATCACCACCCAAAATGCCATCATCAAATTCTAATTCTTCTCTTCACAAACAACCATTACAAATACTTCCCTGTGGTAGCAGCTTGCCACTCTATATCTCAAACTAGACATCAGATTTGAACACATTTTTTTGCAGACATCATCTTTATCACCTAGTAGTAGTACTAAGAGATAGTACTACTGCTAGAAATAACAGCAGACACACCAGCACCCAGGAAAAGAAGATCCGGCTACTAGTAGTATCCATCAATTCAAAGAAACAACAAGTGGACCAGCACCAGTGACTTGATACAAATAGCTTGGTGACATTATACTTTGATTGGATTTGCATCCCTTATACTGTTTGGACCATAACAACAATTACTAGTTCCAGAGCGCGGAAGACAAGAACAATAATTTTTAGCTCAAAATCATAAGCAGAAACAGGGAAAGAAGATCCTGCTATCCATCAATTCAAAGAAACTGCACGAGATTACATGTACTCTTAGTATGTTTAAGTGTGTATGAAAATTGAATTATAAGATTAAGATTATCTCGTTCCGATGTGAGCTTTCAGTAGCTCTGATTAGATCCTGTGTAGCTCCCGGTACTGAATCTGCACAGAGTTCTTATTATTCTGATCTACTGACATCTTTGTTCTTTGCGAGGTAATCTATTTCTGATATCACAGACCTCTTACGATCCTCAGACCTCTTACGATGGATCCTATGATACATGCATATAAACAGTACCTTACGATAGGTATGTAGGAATGGTATGTTCCTTTATTCCTTTCTTCAAAGCTTCGTACTGTACGTATACTTTTGATACAGTACGTACGTATTTGTTGCAGAAACAACAAGCATACAAGCACCAGTGACTTGATACAAGCATCCTGGTGGCAGAATACCAAACACTGTTTGGACCATATCTACTATAGTAGTTCCAGAGCGTGGAAGACAATAATTTTTAGCTCAAAATCATCAACAGGCACAGGAAGAAGATCCAGCTAGTATCCATTGATTCAAAAAGAACAATGAGCTGACCAGTGGATCAACACAGAACAACAGCTCTTTGGGAATCAATTAAACAACAACAATGCCAACCAAGGGGACAACAAAACAACAGCTCAAGATCCAGAGCATCATTGAAGGAAAGACCATCCTCACCAACCTCCTTTCCTCCTTCCTGGATGAAGTTCTTGCCATTGTTGCCAGAGGAGAAAAAAGAGACTTGATGAAACTACCTCTGAAGATCAAGGGAGTTGGTTAAGTGGTTGACGATCAAGCACTCGAGTATGATGGARATTTCAGTCTGGCAAACAATCTTCTGTCTGTTACAGTGACTGAAGAGAAGAAGCCAAGAGTCATTAGTGAAAGGCTTCAGGMATCTATCAAATTGGTCAAGAAGAGGAAGTCTGTGGTTGAATAGGTGCTTAAAAAATCAAACAATCCAAATGCAGTATGCATTTGTTGACAGTGGCTTCATCAGTGGTGTTGATGGATACCTGGATGTTCATGCAGTGATGCAGACAAGCAATGTTCCATTTCTTTGCAACCAAATTTGCAAGACCTTTTCCTGGATGCACTTCTTTGATATACTACCAAGATGCAGTATACCAGAGGAAGCATATMTGAGGATTTCTTTGACTCACTAGTAGGTCATCCATTGGACCAGGATTGTGGTGATGTCAATCTGGAGATTGATAAGTCAGTCTTTGGTCTTTGGTAGATCACAAACCATCATCACCAGTGAAGTCTTGAAGAGGAGGAATGATGAGGAGGCTATCAAGAATCTGGATGATGCAAGGAACTCAAGGGTAAAAAACTTCAAGAGGCAAATCTACTTTTTACCCAAGCAGAGGAATGTTCTAGACTCCTTCTTGAGAAAGCAGGACTCCCTCCTGATTCAATGATTGAGCTGATTTCAGATGGTGTCTGGCTTGACGCAATTGCAAAAGCAGCAAAAAAGGCTCCTCTGTTGGATGCTTTTGTGAGGATTAGAACCCAGAAAAAMCTCCTGGAGCCCTGGAAAACACCTCCAAAGGGTACAGTGAAAGTGTCACTGAAGGGAGGGTGTGCACAAAGGCCAAGGGAAAATTTCTCATCCAATTGCTCAAGGACTTATCTTCCACTCAGTCCATTTCTGAGGCTGCAACTATTCCTACAGATGAGTTTCCTGCAACTGTGATTCCTAAACCTCATGTTGTTTCCTTTTGAGCCTTGTCTGTTCATGAGACCTTCAAGGCCACCAAGGAATGGTGTCAAGCATCAGCAAGAGTGATTGCATCTATTGGGAATCAGTCCTTGACAACTGATATGGACAGTGTCAACTCAGCAGCTCATATTTTTGCAGAGAATATGATGKTACAGGGAAGACTCCCAGGCTTTGTGACTGAAAGATTCCAAGTGGATAGAATTGACCTCCATCCTGGAAAACATTTTCACTGGGATTAACTTATTGCTAGGCATATCCCTAGGATTTCTGTCTTGATAGTCCTCTCTGGTCATGCTGTCCAAAACCAGGAGCTTGGGGGCTGTCATGAGGAGAGCTACCTATCCAGTGACATGAGTGCTTTCCCACAAGTTGTTCCAGAAGAGATGAAAAAGAATGGCAGCTACCTGTTTGAAGATTCTTCAAGAGGGACTCTTATAAGAGCAGGTATGTCTGAACAGGAGGAGTTTGGTGAAAGAATGAAGCATCACAAAGCAGATTCTTTTTTGAGGAAGCCTCTATCTCAGCAAAGGAGACTKTACAAGTGGTATCCAGACAGGAGCATTGCCAATGAAGTGGAAGGGAGGAAAGAGATGTTCCARGATATCCATCAGAGATAGGAGAGGTAAGGATACTAGGAACAATACTAAGGATCAGATCTTGTCACTGTTTGATTGGTCCTCTGAGGAAGAAGAGAAACAGCTTAGAATGCTGCCATAGAAGAGCTCCTATAAGGACAGTTTGGAAAACAGGAAATACAGACATCTATRTTATCTCTTTGAAGCAGTATATGCKATTGCTCTCAAACCATCAGACAATATTACAGCACAGGGTGAATGGGAGTTGAAATATTATGGATAATTACTACTACAAAACAATACTAGTATTTTTACTGTTACTACTACTACTAGTACTACTAATACAGCACCCATATTTTTAAATCACTCAAYGAGAATCATCTTCAATGTCACTAGAAACCAAGCTGTATATGGTACTAGTTGTTGTAGTAGTAATACTCCTGAAACTAGCACTACTAGTACTATGAGTAGTAGTACTATTACTCCTACTTCTACCAGTAGTTTCAGCATAAAAATTGTATGACCCAACTACCCACTGAATCCAATATGTTCATTAGGATGTTAAGATAAACTGTACAAAAAACTAGGTCATAATTAGTAGATGTTCACTTGCTGTTTTACATAACAACYAAATTTGGACTGTAGACTGTGCAGTTTGTTGCATGCATTTTACATAGAAGGGACTAAATTTGTAYTTAATTGCAAATTTGCAGTTTCATTGCTGCATAGATGTCCAAAACCTGAAACTAGGAAACAAGTTAAGGATTAGCAGAGCATCTGACAATACTTCTTGTATTTTTTCCCACTTTGTGTTCCTGAGTGTTGCCAAGCACATTTGCAATAACAAAAAAAACAAGAAAGTGGGGTTATTCCCTGTATTAWTAGTACTAATAAATGGGCTGGCCTATCACATTTCTTATTACATCTACTATTACTAACAGGAATCAAATTTTCAATGGACAGATGACAGCAAATACTGGCTCAGTGCCAGATTTTTTTGGGAGTTTCAAATCTTAGTACCTACTTCCTCTGTCCAGGAACAGGTGTCTACTAGTTTGCACCTCTATGGTTGGAATGAGCTCAATGTGGTATTTGGGTGATTGGAATGCTTTTTTATGCTYAACAGATCAATTATAAATGTATGCAGTTATGATAATTGTATTAAGTGAAAGTGTCTGACATAGYTGCAATACTAGCTATTCAAATAGGGCCCATTTTGTGATTTTACTCTCAGTTGCATTCCAATGATGGTCATTTTGATATGCTGTTGCTTGCACATCATGATAGCTAGTAGTAAGAGCAGTGATGCATTCTTGAAGCTGCAGTAATTCTCTTCAGTATTGAGAAATTTCTTGCATC